AATAAAAGAAATTACAGGATATATTAAGAAAGTCAGTACCAGAAATCAAAGTAGAAAAAAAATCCTACGCAGGAGATAAGGAAATATAATTTCCTAGGAAATCTATAGAAAAAGCTTCAAAGCCCAACGTATACGAAGTCATCAACAATGATGAAGTACGAATGGTACTGACATTACATGTAAAAAAAATGCAATTTTTCTTTAAACATGGAACAAAATTACTACAAGATATGATGTTAGCGATGTGCATACTAATGAAATTCTTGACATAAGCCAGTTTTTCCAAAGATTTGAAATGCAAGTCGGTATTTATCTAATCAGCAAACTCAATGCCCTACTAAACCCGGTGAACCTGATATAAGGAGAAAAGGAAGCTATATTATCTACATATCGTGACGTCCTATACTAGGAGGAAGGGATATAACTGAGTACATCCAAAAATGTCAACAAGCAAACTAAGCACATTGGAAGGGTATGACGCGGGATATTACTGAGTAAGTACGAATATGTTAAAAATGCCAAAAAGCTAAATTGACTAAGCACATAAAGACTCCATTAACAATAACTGATATAGCTATAAATGCTATCGGTAGAGTGGTAGTGGACCCCATTCAGAAAATGGAAATGAATATGCAGTCACGCTAGTTGCCATACCAGGTGCAGGTGCATACGAGCACAAACCCTGTCGCTAAAGCTATATTTGAGTCTTTTATTCTAAAGTACGATTATTACGGACATGGGGACAGAATATAAGAATTTAACTATCAATGACTTGTGAAATTAAAAAAAAAAAAACAAGTAAGAGGTTCTAGTCGGGAGCTCCCGACTAGGGGATACCCTGATCCCTCTTCTTCCAACATCAAATGCATATATATATTCTATTTTAGAAGCTATATGTCAAGTTTGGTGACTAGACCATACAATGTATAGACATACCAAATGTCACTTTTTATCGAAAGAAGAAAAATCGAAACGAGGCGACCCCAATGGTACCTGCGACCATTTTAGTGTGCCCAGACAGAGTAAGACTGCTGACACATGCCAGCGATCAGGTACCCTTACCCCTACAACAAGCATGAAAAATAGCAACTTTTCACATGAACTGGCCAAACCCTTTAATAATTTCATACAACTGCTTACTTGAAAAAGTGTGCATCAATTTTTGGTCTTTTCTTAAATTCTTCGACAAACCGACGATGAATTACCCTTGCACAAATATGACTTTGATATACAAAGTCCCTACAGTAAAGAGAAAATAAATTTAAATATTTCATTTAGGTCAATTAATTGTGTATTAAATAAAGTTTGATCAAATTCTTCTCATCATGCCTGACTGGACGAAGAAATACATGATAAAGCATTTAAATGTGAGTGCATATTGCTACCACAGGCACAAAAGGCACACAATTGAAGAAATAACCTCAGGCTCGCGACAAACGCCGCGATATACTTGTGCGCACATCCACACAACACAAACGTATGAATATTTGTAGATCTCGGTGTTTTGCGGGAAGCTATGCAGGGAGAAAGAGATGGATGCAAGTGCGCGAAGCAATGAGTGAGAGCGAGGCACATGCATACACATATATATTTTTGGGCTGTAAAGATTTAAAAATGGCATGCATACATATATTAAGAAAACGCATCATCAGCCGCGACGTTGTGCGCTGAGCGAGATGCGGCTTCATACTGAACGTTCGACTTTTGAGGCCGGCGTCCGGCTGCCACTCTCAGCAGTTTTACTCTGCCTGGGCACACTAAAATGGTCGCAGGTACCATTGGGGTCGCCTCGTTTCGATTTTTCTTGTTTCGATAAAAAGTGCCATTTGGTATGTCTATACATTGTATGGTAAGTGCTCTAGCTCTTATTCACCAAAGTTACCCAAAAACAGGATATCGATATCAATTTTTATTGATTGTTTGGAAACAGAGTAAGTTATCGAGTTATCAGAAACAAATTCGATCTGTGTGGGCACTAGGAGCACCTACATCTAAAATTTCAAGTCCCTAGCTCTTATAGGTTCTGTGATCCTTGCGTTCATATATACGGACAAACGGACAGACAGACAGACGGACATGGCTAGATCGACTCGGTTATTGGTGCTGATCAATAATATATATAATTTATGGGATCGGAGATGCTTCCTTATGCCTGTTACATACATTTGGATTTTGCACAAATACAATATACCATTATACCCATTTTTAATTGGTTCAGGGTATAATAAGATGCCACAAATAGAGAAAAACTTACCTGGCGGACTACAACTGGTTAATCTAAGCACTATCCGCCCGTGATATGGACTGGCTGTCGGGTAACAAGACCCAAAAGAAATCATAAAAGAACAACAACAAACATAATTACGTGTGCAGTGCACTAATTAAGGAACGAAAAAATGAAAAGCTGCAGCATAGGCAGCAAATGAAACACAATTAATAATATATACAACGACTACCCAAACGTTCGTATGCGAGCCATACAAGTTTTGCAAAGGGAATTCATACCTGTATATGAATTTGAAAAGGACTATGCTGAAACATACGGTACAATAACAATCCCACTGTTTTCATGTTCTAAAAAAAAAAGCGAAATAGTCTTCTCAACTCTACCATACGTAATCATGAAAACGAATTATTGACGAGCATCCCATTCTAGGGCCAACATCTATGCTTTGCGTCTGCACAGGTAGGAAAAAAAGAAAGAGAGATTTATATATATAAAAAAAGATTGGTGGAAAACAATCGAAGGCAGATGATAACACTGCCAATGAAGTAAGCGTGGTGGAAGTGGTAAGTGAGGGAAAAGTTCTACATGGAATGACTCCAAATAGTCAAGAAAATAAAGCTGCATAGAGAAAATATTGACAAACCATACAAGTGCCTAAATATAAGCGCACTACTTTTAAGACTTTTTTTAAATTAAAGAAGTACCTTTTACAATATATCCAATGGGTTCACTACGTGCCCGTTTGCTTAAACATTCAAAAACGAGCAAGTGCGGCTATCTTTGGCAGCCCAAAAATGTATTGCCCTTACAGACCGAACATTGTCATAATGCTTGTAGTGCTTTGCCCGTGTCTAGGAAGCACAGGATAAAAATATGAAACTTGTCTGATTTTATATAAATGTAGGGAATATAGTAAGATTGGTGAGTTTGGTCAAGATATCTGCAAAATCAAAAACTTTTTCCATTCAGCAACTTAATATTTGACCGATCCAAAAAACCTCTTTTTGGCAGCTTTATGATATAGTGGTCCGATATTGATAGAATTTTTTATAAATGTAAGGAGCACAGTAAAATCTCTAAGTGCCAAGTTTGGTAAAAACAGCTTGAAAAACAAAAAAGTTTTCCATTCAACAATTTAATTTTCGACCAATCGTTCCCTTGGCAGCTATATGATATAGTGGTCTGCATATATATTTTGCATATATATGAGGAGCATAGTGAAACTAATAAATACCGAGTTTGATCAAGATAACTTGATGAAAAAATTATTTTCATACAAGAACCTACTTTCGTCCGATCGTTCCTATGGAAGCCATATTATATAGTGCTCTGCTCCTAATAGTACTTTGCAAATATATGAGAGACATAGTAAAACTAATAAATGCCGAGTTTGGTAAAAATAGCTTGAAAAACAAAAAAGTTTTCCATATAACAACTTAATTTTCAACTGATCATTCCTATGCCAGCTTTATAATATAGTCGTCCGATCCAGCTAGTTTTAATATATGTGCTGCGTGCAACAGAGAGAGGGACTTCTGCAATGTTCCATAAATATAGCTTTAAAAATGAGACGAGTTCGCATAGAAAGGGATAATCGAATGTAGTCACACACGACTCGGCTATTATTACTGATCAGGAATATATATATATTGATAACTAAGATATAAAATATACTTGATGTGTGCATAAATTTTCACCAGCTAGTCCGACTGATCGACTGGATGCCGTCGCAACAATGTTGAGACACGGAACAATTCAAACGGGTTGGCGAATAAACATTACAATAATAATCAAACGGTTTTATTTTTATTTTTACTATTATAGAAACTACTTGTCAAATTTGCTCAAAAATGGAATTTAGATATCGAGTTTTATCAATTGCTTGGAATTGGGGTTGAACTCGTAAACTCGTACATATGCATTTGGAAAAGCATCGGCCACTTCATTAAAGAGATCCAAATATGCCGCACTTCGGCCACTATGCAGGTGCGAGTGAGACTTGTACCATTGTACATTAACAGGCCCCGCGCGTTGATTTATACATGTGTATGCTTGATAAATAGCTCTCCAAAAGGCAACGTTAATTTATGTATTCTTCAATAGTGGCATTGTCTGCGAAACAACATAACACTCAAGTTGAACAATTTGAATGAATTGATGTGGCGGGAGCTAATTCAATTTGCAAGTCGTCTCATTACAATTAACCTCTATTTGAAAATATGGTTAAACTTCATCGAATAAAGAATCATTAGTTGTCATTTACGGTTTCTGCCTATGTTAGTTAAATATTTGGCCTGCATTGCCCATCCAAGACCAGTGACCATTGCGAAAAACGTTTCACATTTATGATCACAAACATTTTTGAAACTGAGTTTTAAGCCGTTTTCCGTCAATTTACCACGGTTTTGGATAGAATTTCCAATATCGCTGAAGCACGATTCAAAATAAAATTTCATAGCACCATCCGAATTTTCGACAACCAGCCAATAATTTTAAACAAAGAACTTTGACAGTGAGTTGTAGGATTGAATTGTAACCAAAACAGTTTCATACAAACATTTTTACGATTTTTATGCACTTGTGGGTGGCATTTATCAAAATCCAGTCCTTGCGTGCACCCTTATCACATAAGGTAAATACAGTGAATATAGATTTAAGCTGTGCGTTGATCACTAATCAGTTAGTGAGAACAAACAGCTTAAACATATATGTAGATATAGATATATGTCTATTTTTTTTTTTTTTTTTGGTTAGCAAGTGAAAAAATGTTTACCCGTTTTATCGTGAAATCCTTCAATATGAGATGAATAGCCATATGAACATTTAGAACTAAACGGTGATTTCAACTTCTCTTTTGTGCGCTTTTGGGAAGTCATTCTTATCTCATCCTTGACAAAGTTATATATTTTAAAACAAATCCTGAAAAAAAATAAAAACACACATATTATTAATTGTAAGCTCTAGCACGCAATATTTGACAATGAGGGGGTGACATGATTTGAATAATATCTTCGCCAAAAGTAGTCCCAGACATTTGCCCATCAGGTAATAATGCTTTCGCGCAAATATATGTAACTGGCAGATGAAGAATCTCCTATCCCATAAAGTATAAAATTTATTCTTGATCAGCATCAATAGCAGACTTCGCTTTTAATAGATGGGTTTAAGAAAAAAATGTAGGCTAACGTCATCTATCTTATTTCGGTAAGGCTTTCGACTCTGTCAACTATTCCTTGCCGCTTCATAAAGTATGCCTTCTCGGCTTCCCAGTCGTTCTCTTGAAATGAATTTCTGAGTATTTGCGTAACGGAGCCCAAAACGTTCTAAACGTATCTAGTGACTTCCGGTGTTTTTTAAGATACTGTCTCACTCTTGAGTATTAATGTATTCTATTTATGTGAAATTTCGCCTAGCACTTAACGTTAAGTCATCATTTTATCTCTTACAAGCTGACATTGATGCGTTTCAGACTTGGTGTCTTGCCAACCTCTTAAATCTAAACTGCTCCAAATGTAAGGCAGTGACGTTCTATAAAAGCCCTCCTTGAGCTTACTACTTAAGCGTGCCAATAGTACTTGTAATAAAGTTAATGATCAAGGTATCATTCTTGATCATAAGCTCATATTAAACTCCCATGTTAACACTGTCCTCAATAAGGCCAGAATTGTTTAGGGTTTATTTGAGCGACGGTCGAAGGAGTTTGAAGTTGTTAGAAATGCAAATAGCGATCAATTAGTTACCATTGCACTACAAATAAAAATATAAATATGAAAACTGTCATGTCCAGTTAAATCTTGTCTAGGTATTACAACTACGGTTCGTGCTTAAGTACGGTGGATACCGCTGGTTTAGTCAGTTTGGACCAACTTTTATATAAGCGCATTAACAGGTTATATCAAAGACAATATAAACACTAAGATGAGTAACGCCCATACATTTGAATGCGATGCAAACTTACTAGCCTGGCCTTTCATCTGGCCTTTGAGGCTTCGTACGGCATGCCTGCCGACAAGTTGTTCGTTCTCCAAAGACCAGACGAACGAATGCCGAAGTCGCGGCTTGCTGATATTGACACGAGCTACGAAGTTAGTCGCCAGCCTGCCTTCAGCAAAGCTGGTGGATGCTGCTTTGCGTTGCTTCGTTTTCGAAGTACATTGAGCGAAAAAGTTTAGAACTTACGATCGACGCAAAGTGCTTGTGCTTTATCCATGAAATGCATGCTTTATTTAAATGATATATTTCCCTAGATATTAACGATTAATTTTACAGGAAAATTTAAGAATTTATATCATTTTTACACAAGGCGCTTCTTGCGCAATAACTATGTTAAGAAATTAGCATACATATGTTAAGAAATTAGCACACTTTTCTTTTTGGACAGTGTATGCTCGAGAAAAGTTCTTGTCTCAGCCAATAGCGTGCGTGCACCTTTCGTTGTATGCGTGAATTATACATGCATAAGAACTTTAAGGTATGTATGTATGTGTTGTTATTCATTGCTTTGGCTTTAGATGGCAAGAAATTAATTTTGTTAGTTTTCTCACCTATCCCAAATTTGTGTTGATATATGAATGCATTTTGTGCACTGAGGTTGGCTCCGCAGAAAATATGTATTTCTAAGTCGATGCAAATATTTACATAATTTCTTAAAATTAAATTAATATTAATATTATTAATATTTGCATCGACTTAAATATACAAATTTTTTTGTACGGAGCCAACCTCAGTACACGAAATGCATTCATATATCAAAAGAAATTTTGGGTAGGTCGTGATCTGCGCTAAAAAACTAAGAAAATTGTTTCTTTGCCAGCCATAGACTTTGCCAGAGCAGTGGATAACAACACATTCAAATATGCTGTTATGTATGTATATTCCCACGCATACAAACATAATTGCTTGCATGGCCCTCATAGAGCCGAAGCTGAGAGCAAATTCTATTTTTAGTTTTTTCGTTCTCTCGGCTGTGAGAGCGCAATGGTACAGATTTCGTTTTCGTTCTCAATTTTCAAGAAATCAAGCTGCATAGTAGCATTTTGTTGTAAGGCGTTACTCATCTTAGTGTTTATATTGTCTTTGGTTATATACACAAAGTAAATAAAAAAATTTGTAAAATTGCAAGCTGAAACTTACTTGTCGTTCTCAGTTAAGCAATCCAATTCGTTTTGGTACGAACATTGCAAAACTTTAATGTCTTTTTCGTTAACATCATCCTAAAATATAAAGTTTGTATACATTAAGAAAATTGGTGACAGACTTTCATATTAGTATAATACCCTTGCAGAGGGAATTATAATTAAGTAGTGAAAAGTATATCGGTAAGTTGAGTGTTCGAACCCTTTCAAGTGAATATTTTTTTATCTTGATTACTACTAAAGCGAAAGATCGCGTAGCGCGAGCTGTCTTTGGTGTTGGAATAAGATGGCTCAGGGTACCCCTAGTCGGGAGCTTCCGACAAGAATCTCTTGCGTTTTTTTTTTATCATGATATCATAGTTAATTTCGTTATTTATTAGTTTCACTCTGCCTGTCAACTCCCGGACCATCATATAGCTGCCATAGGCAACAGGAAATTTCTATAAAACTGAGCACTTACGAGCTGCGAGATGTGTGTTCTTACTCACTCTCACTGAAATTCTCACATATCTGCAGAAACGTTATACAAACGTTTGCATGGATATTCTTTGGCGTACCGCCGATTACTTTATCGTTTTATAATAAATAAAAATAACAATAATTTAGAACATTTTATTTATGTTACTTATAAATGTATTCGCAGTACGGGTTTGTTTCAGATAGTCGATAACTTGCCCCGTTTCCAAACAATTGTTAAAAATCGATATTAAAAAAAATTTTTTTTGTAATCATATCTATTAGGTTTTAAGAGCTAGAGTCACCAAACTTGACTTGCCCCCGACTAGAACCTCTTATTTGTTAAATTTCCTTTTGTTAGCGGACTTATTCTTCCATAATGGTCCCTCTAATGGCCCTTTTAGGACTTCTCGACGCTCTCTTATAGAGTATTATGGCAGATTTACAAATTTAGCGTGAATTAACCTTAAATAGTTTGCTGCGCTACACTTTGGTTTTGGATCCTTTGGATCCTTCCGTTCATACATACGGACGGACGGACGGACTTTGATGCTGATCAAGAATATGTACACTTTATCGGGTCGGAGATACTTCCTTCTGCCTGTTACATACATTTGGAATTTGCACAAATACAATATACCCATTTTTAATGGGTTCAGGGTATAAAAAGGGCACATAAATAGTACGTGCACACATAAGATGTAGGATGATAGCAACCCAAGGGAAATCGGTAAGCTACTGCTGAAACTCACTTTCCGGGGTGAGTAAGCAAAGATAAGACGACAACAAATCTTCTTGCTGCGATCGAAAGGGATGCGCGCCACCCAAGAGATAAGACTGTGGAGCATATGGAAACAAAATCGGCGGCAATATGCAATCGCTCCAACGTGAACAGGAGTACACCCCTCATGGCGATCCATGTAGTATGCAATAGGCCCTAGGCTCATCAGCTCCAGGTACGTAAATTTATTAAATCGACTGCAGTAGTATCTGGCATTGGTAATGCATCATTTACCTCAAATGGTTTCTTGAACAACATCAACATACAGTCTCGAGTGTCAGCGTGCTCAGCATGCACCCTGTCGATGATTGCAACAATCATTATCGATCACCAGTCGAGCTTCACAGACGCTTCATCGATTTTATAATTCGGGAAGAAAACTAGGCAGCATTTATTATGGACTTAGTTCATATATCGGTTGTTAGCTTTGCTTCACTGGAAAGTACTACTCCATTAAAAGTACTACTCCTCCATATATTCGCTTAGCACAGATGGTAGGTCCAACCAATACTGGCCAAAGCGTAAATTTAAGTTGCGAAATTGGTGATTTAGCTACTCAACATACCAGAACTGCATAGAGAATCGTTGCTCAAATTCGCTTGGGATCCTGCCTCAGATCACCCTAAAGGCTAACAAAACGATAAATCATATGAGCAAAATGTTCGTCTGTTGGTACTACAAAAGACAATATAAACACTAAGATGAGTAACGCCCATACATTTGAATGCGACGCAAAATTTCTAGCCTGGCCTTTCATCTGGCCTTTGAGGCTTCGTACGGCATGCCTGCCGACTGGTTGTTCGTTCTCCAATGACCAGACGAACGAATGCCGAAGTCGCGGCTTGCTGATGCTGACACGAGCTACGAAGTTAGTCGCCAGCCTGCCTTCAGCAAAGCTGGTCGATTCTGCTTTGCGTCGCTTCGTTTTCGAAGTACATTGAGCGAAAAAGTTTAGAACTTAGTTTAGAACGATCGACGAAAAGTGCTTGTGTTTTATCCATGAAATGCATGCTTTATTTAAATGATATATTACCCTAGATATTAACGATTAATTTTACAGGAAAATTTAAGAATTTATATCATTTTTACACAAGGCGCTTCTTGCGCAATAACTATGTTAAGATATTAGCACACACTTTTCTTTTTGGACAGTGTATGCTCGAGAAAAGTTCTTGTCTCACCCAATAGCGTGCGTGCACCTTTCGTTGTATGCGTGAATTATACATGCATAAGAACTTTAAGGTATGTGTTGTTATTCACTGCTCTGGCTTCAGCTGGCAAGAAATTAATTTTGTTTGTTTTCTAGCGCAGATCATGACCTATCCCAAATTTGTGTTGATATATGAATGCATTTGGTGTACTGAGGTTGGCTCCGCAGAAAATATGTATTTCTAAGTCGAAGCAAATATTTACATAATTTCTTTAAATTAAATTAATATTATTTTTATTCTCCAATTGAGAAATAAAAGAGTGCTAAAAAACAATTACATTTCAAGTCGACTTTTATTTAGTTATGACCCTATTATTATTATATTGGCCTCCTCGCGGGCTTGCTTGCGTATTTTGTTCTTTATAATTCGAACAAAAAATAATAAAAAAAAAAATAAAAATTAATGATATGTATATTTAAAAACAACTAATTTGCACTTTTATTTCCTTAATTTATTTTGTATTACTTAAAAATGATAATAATTTAATTAATAATTTCAAATAAAAAAAATTACATAAATATTTGCATCGACTTAAATATACAAATTTTTTTGTACGGAGCCAACCTCAGTACACGAAATGCATTCATATATCAACAGAAATTTTGGGTAGGTCGTGATCTGCGCTAAAAAACTAAGAAAATTGTTTCTTTGCCAGCCAGAGACTTTGCCAGAGCAGTGGATAACAACACATTCAAATATGCTGCTATGTATGTTTATTCCCACGCATACAAACATAATTGCTTGCATGGCCCTCATAGAGCCGAAGCTGAGAGCAAATTCTATTTTTAGCTTTTTCGTTCTCTCGGCTGTGAGAGCACAATGGTACAGATTTCGTTTTCGTTCTCAATTTTAAAAAAATCAAGCTGCATAGTAGCACTTTGTTGTATGGCGTTACTCATCTTAGAGTTTATATTGTCTTTGGTACTACTGTTGGTCAGATTCTGCCGTAAAGTCAGCTTGTGTTTTAAATTCAATGTTTTCGTTGCCAATCGCATCGCACCCATCGAGTCTCTACTTAGGGCCCAAGACGCAAGTTTTCTCAATAAGAATTTCAGCACAAGGTCCTACTCGGTACTGCACAGCAACTTGATCTCTCAATGGGATGTAAGTTTACCAACTCGTTCTTCAATCTGCAAAGAAGCTATACTAACTGTGTGTGTGCACCGTTGCCGCGGTCAGTCAAATGCATAATCTTGACGATGACTATAAGGCACTGACGGCAGGAGCGTCAAAACGTCTAGCTCAATGGCCTCTCGCGAAATTCTTTAACTGTCGCCTACTTCGCACCGGTGAATGACGGAAAAGCTCGTCGTTCAACTTCTCAGCACGACATTCGATTATATTGCCCCGTCAGGAAATTGTGAGGCGAGCAATCAGTTTTAGCTTTTATAAACGTAACATACATACTGTACCTCGATCCTTATTATTGGCGGTTGTAAAATACTCTGTAGTGCTGTTGCCAGGTGCAGAATTCGTTTTTAAGCTGTCACTTATAACAAGTAAGAGGCTCTAGTGGAGAGCTTCCGACCAGGGGACACTCTGAACCCTCTTGTTCCAACATCAAATTCGGCTCGCGCTATGCACTCGTTTGCAGTAATAGAGATACATTTGAAAAAAAAAAAACACAAATTTTCTTGGCAGGATTCTAGCTCGCAACCGATCGCATTACTTGCCGACGACTCTACGCAACTGCCACAGCAGCCAAGAAAAAATAAATAGTTTCCTCGGTAGGGTTCGAACTCGTAACAGAAGGAGCTACTTGTCGCCGCCTCAATCCAACAGCCACACCAATTATTAATTTGTATTCAGAAAAAATCGAATTAAAATAGCAGCACAGAAATCAAGACAATTGCAATGGGCAGGCAAACACATTGCCTTTAGTCAGCCATACATACATATCCATATGCTAAGTGCATTAAAACCGAAGTCAATCAGCACTGACGTGCATATGTTGTTATTGAAATACATTTTATACATGGCCACCGTGACTAAGGTCCAAAACAGACCTGGACATGGAACAACAGCAGCAACGGCAGTAACAACAACAACAACAGCAGCAAAGGCAGTAACAACAAAAGTAGCAACGGAAATACCTTTAACAACAACACCAAAAAATAAAACCAAAAAAAATAAATCATTACAAAAAAAATACGTTGCGGAAAATTAATCTGGTGGAGGAAACACAAAGTATACTGAGTGAGTAAAGTGTTTTAAAAAAGTGTTCGCAAATTCTTCTGCGCGTTTACGAAAACAACCTTAGCGTACAGCTGTATAAATCTGGAGAATAACCAGCGATTGTTGAAGGCACTCAAAGGCGAAGCACGTGACACTGTGAAGTCGTTGCTCATACATCCCAGGAATGTGAACAACGTAATTGAACAATTACGTTTTAGATACGGCCGCCCAGCACAGCTAATACGCAGCCAGCTAATTAGTATTCGAGAGGTGCAGCCAATTCAGGAGCACAGCATAGTTAAAATCGTGCCATATGCTACACGCGTGAGTAACCTTGCCGCCTTTCTACAATCGGCTAACGGGGAACAGCATTTAGCGAATCCTACACTGATGGAGGATTTCGTCGCTAAACTACCACCAAGCAACAGGGTGGAATGGGCCAGACATGCAGCTAC